GGCTCTGCACAGGCAGGGATGTTGGCCTTTTGGTTCACAGATGTCTCCCCAACACCCAGCACCATGCCTGGCACAGAGCAGGTGCTCAGTAAATATTTGCTGAATAAAACAGAGCAAGCGTGGCCTTGAGCAAGTCACCCTTTCTTAGCCTCAGTTTCTTTGTAAATAAGGATCACACCTCGGGGGAGAGGCACGAGGAGGGCCTGGCACAGAGCAGGGGCTCAGGATGGGGCATCCAGCTGGATCCCGAGGGCCCCCACCCGCCGGCACCCTGCTTCAGCCAGGACCCACCTTCTGCATCATCTGGAGCTCGTCCCGGAGGCACTGCACCTCCTTCTTCAGGTACTGAAGTTCGTTCTCCTTCACTCGCAGCAGCACCTGGGGTCACAGGTGCACGCTAGCGCAGGGCCAGAGGCCAGAGCTGCCCAGCCCGGGGCACACCGCAGCCGCCTTCTCCTTGCCCCAGGCCCCCAGAATGCAGCTCCCAGCCTGCACTGAGACCCACGACCCCCAGGGGCACACTCCCCCAGGAAGTCCTCTCTCACCCACCCGCACCATAGCACCAGGCCCTCAACTTGAGGGCGAAGGAAAAGGGAGCCATGGTATGGCTACTCTGACCCAGAGAAGCTGGGACTCTGCGGACATCATTACCCACCCCCCCAAACCCCGAGGGGCAGGCGTTGCTGCCCTGACTTCGCTAAGGAGACGGTTTCAGCCAGACGGGGGAGACTTAAAAGCTTAGACTCTGGAACCAGACGGCTGGGTTGAAATCCCAGCTCCCACACCAGCTATCCGAGTGCTCTTGGGCAGGTACTTGGCTTCTTGTGTCTGTTTCCTTACCTGTAAGTCGGGGATAGTAACAGCATGTGCCCCATAGGGCTGTGAGGGAGACTCGGTGAGTTAAGAACCCCGGCTTACAGAAGTCCCAGGCACAGAGTAACCGTACATAAATGTTTGTAAAATAAAGTATCAGGGTGATCCTGGGGTCATGCCCACATTTTCTCACTGCAACTTCTCCCAGTAAGAAAGGTGTGCGAGCCCATTTTACAGACGAGCTACGGGACTTAGAAAGGCGAGGCACTGGTCCTGACCACACAGCAGGTGGGTGGGAGGGCTGGACTCTGGCTGCAGGAGTGCAGCGCACCCAGCAGGTCCTTCCCAGCTGTGCTGGCGTCTCCTTGCTGGGCCCAGCCCCTCAGGTGCCCTCCCAGGCCTAGGCCCCGAGGACCAGCCGTGGGCACTTACCTCCAGCTCACAGGAGCTGCGCTCATTGCGCCCACAGCCGCTGCCAGTGCCCTGGGAGGCAATGAAGCCGCGCAGCCGGTCGATCTCCTCAGACAGGCGGGCGTGCAGCTCCTGCGGGGCGTGGGGAGGGGGCACGGTCAGCGCAGGGCTGCTGGGCGCCCGTCCCCACCCCCTGGGGCCAGGCCCACCTGGTTGTGGCGCAGCAGCTCCTGGCCCTCCTGCTGGCAGCAGCGCAGCGTGTGCTCGCGCTCCTCGGCCTGCTGCGTCAGGGTGCCGATCTCCAGGCACTTCTGGGAGTACTGCTCCGACAGCACCTGCAGCTCCCGCTTCAGCGCCTCCATGTCCGACCTGCCGGGGCGGAGCAGGGGAGCAGTGATGGACGTGGGCTCGCTGCCCTCTGCCAAACGAGTCGGGTCATGGCAAACTCAGCGCAGCTCCTGATTCCCCCGCTAGTGTTGCTTTGAGCCCAACTGTGGGGCTTTGAACGGTGACAGGCTCTCGCGGCTACAGGTGCCTCTGTGAGGGGCGGGTGGGAGGAGCCATCGCTACAGCCTCTGCAGCCTCCAGAACTGTGCTCGGTGGCAGGACAGGGACTGGCCGAGGCTGACACTGCAGCCCAGCTCTAGGGGACACTAACGAGGGGACAGGAGTTGGAGGCCGAGACCAGCCTGACAAGAAGGGGCCAGAAGAATGGTGGCCTGAAGAACTGTCTATGTGGATGGCACGGAGGCCTGACTAAGGCCCTGCTGCTTCTGTTCAGGTGCCACAATGACAGTGGGGGTCTCAGTTGGGGACAAACTGACGTAGCCTTTGCCCAGGGACGTCAGCACAGGTCCCTGACTCATGACTGCCAGCGTATGCAGCTGGGTCCCGGCTCAGAAGGAGGCCCAGCCCAGACCCCAGGGCCCCAGTGCCAGCTCACTGGTGCTGCTTCCGGAGGCCGTCTGGGCCCTGCTGGAGGCTCCGTGTCTTGTTCAGCTCCCGGCTCAGCTCCTCCTGGTAGGCCTTCTTCATGGCTTCGATGGCTGGAAACAGAGCGGAAGCGAGGGGGAGGTCGGGGAGGGGTCAGCAGCAGCACCTTCACCTCCTCAGACGCCACACGTGCCGTGGAGACAGGAGCAGGCAGTGGCTGCCAAGAGCCCGGGACCGGGCTGTGTCGTGAACTGAGTGGCTCTGGGTAAGTGGCTCGACCTTCCTGAGCCTGTCTAGCCAGAGAGGGTCACGATCCCTGCCTGACGGACCCCGCTGGGGAGACACCCAGCGTCTGAGCACTGGTCCTTCTGTTAGTGATGGCTGGGTAGAGCCCACAGTCCACTGTCCCTACAGCCTGGAGGGTCCTTTAACAAGGCCCATCTGGGCGGCCCAGCTTAGTGGTCAAGAGTACAGGCTCAGAAGTCGATACAAATCGAGGTGACTTTGCTCAGGGGACTTAACCCCTCTGGGCCTCGGGTCCTCATCTGGAAAGTGGGGTTGACAGTGCGCCTTCTCTCAGGAGCCACTGGGAGACGTGGGAAGAGCATTTCGGACAATGCACAGCACAGACGTTAGCTTCTGGCTGGTTTTTCAGACCGTGAGCTCCCAAGGACTGAGTCTCTTTTCACACTTACACAGGGTTGCTGTGAGGATTAAACAATCCTCAACCATCATCTTATCTGTAATTCCAAAATCCAAAAGCTCTGAACGCTGGAAGTTTTTCATAACTCTTTTGGTGACAATCCCCGGCCTAAATGGATTGAGGCTATTTGAGGTCCCACTTAAGGGTGACCCTGAGAAATGTCACTGCAAATAACGTGGTGCTAGATTTCAGGGTGAAGCCAGATCCTGCTGAGACACCTAATATATGCACCCGGTTATCTTCCTAAAAGCAGAACGCATGGCCCAGGGTTTGGGATGCGGGGCCATGGGCTTGGCAGGTGTAAGTTCTAGATCATGTGATCTCTTCCATCATTTCCCTTATTCTAAAACGCTCCGGAGGTGCATGCGCTGTGCCAGGCACACAACGCAGAGGGTTGGTTCAGAGCACGGCTTTGCAGTCAGTGTGCTCTGGGCTCCAACTCCAGCTCTGCCACCGATAAGCTGTGCCATTTGGACAGATCACTAACCTCTGAGCCAGTGTCCCCATCTGTGAAATGGGTCACTCTCTTGGGCACTGCAAGGCCTAGGACTGCTCACACCCCTCCCTGCTCTCCCCGGGGTCCGGCCTGTGTGCCCAGTAACGTGGCCCCGCTGTGAAAACTGGGTCTGAGGCTAAGCAGTCTCTCCCCCAGGACATGGCACCGGCTTGGATCACAGTGGACCTTCCAGTGGCTACAGGCCCCGAGGGAGCACTCACAGCCAGTGGGGGTGGGGGCGTGTCTTTTCATTGCCTCACTTTCCTCTTTTTAAGTAGGTTGAGGCCAATTCTGGGGGCTTCCAACTCCTCTTGATCCCTTACCCTAAGTCTAGCACCAGGGACCCCAGCTTCTATTTAAGAGCCTCCCAAATCCAGCGAGGAGGAGCCTCAGCTTAGAGGTTTGCAAGGCCGAGCCCGCTGTGCCACTCCTTCCCGGGGTCCTCACCTGAGGCCGTGGCGGCTGTCTCCTCGGCCAGGAGCCACTCCTTCTCCTGCTGCAGCCTCTGCAGCTCCCGCTCGTGATGCCGCTGCAGCTCTTCCATTACCTGCTGGTGGGAGGACTCCATCTCGGCCAGGCTGCGCTCCCAGGCCTCCTGCAGGCAGGGCCAGGGGTCACGGGCTGCTCCCATGGCCTGGGAGTGGTCCTTCTCCAGCCTGAGGTAGGCAGGCCTACCCTGGTCCAGGCTGCCCCTGGACCCCAGCACCACCAGCCTGTACCCGCCACCACCCCCTCCTCCAGCTACAAACCTCATCCTGTCATTCTTCTGCTTCAAACCCTTTTCAGGCCCCTGTCCTGCAGGGTCAAGTCCCTGTTCCATGTCTGACCCCTGCAGCCTCATCCCTGGCCTTACCCCACCAAGAAACCCTCTAGTTATAAAAAACAATTCAGTGTGTTCACACCCGAGCTTTAGCTCATGCTTTCCACTGCCTGGAACATTCTTTTACATCTTTCTTTCCCTGGGTAACTCACTTCCCCTGCAGCTTAAATACCCTCCTAGCTCTGCCTCTGGACAAGCTCTCCGCTGCTGCCAAAGGCCTTGTCCTGCCAGATATAAGTCCCCCGAGGACACGCGGCCCAGGACAGGGCCTGACGTGTGGCAGGTGCTGGGGAAAGGAGCTGAAAGTGATGACCTCACAGAACAGGGCCTTGTGGATCAGACTGGCCAGTATTTTTTTAAATATATATTTTTTTATATTATTTCAGAGAGGAAGGGAGAGGGAGAGAGAGATAGAAACATCAACGATGAGAGAAAAATCATTGATCAGCTGCCTCCTGCGTGCCCCACACTGGGGATCAAGCTCACAACCCAGGCATGTGCGCTTGACCAGAATCAAACCTGGGACCCTTCAGTCCGCAGGCTGACACTCTATCCACTTAGCCAAACCAGCCAGGACAGACTGGCCAGTATTTAAAAGCCTGATAATACCCACTGCTGGGAGAGTCGCTGGGATGGGGTTCGTGGAGGGCAGTTTGATAGCACCGATGCATTTTTAATGACCCTATCCCTTCACCTAGCGCAGCGGTTCTCAACCTGTGGGTCGCGACCCCTTTGGCATTCGAACAACCCTTTCCCAGGGGTCGCCTAAGACCATCCTGCATAGCAGATATTTACATTACGATTCATAACAGTAGCAACATGACAGTTATGAAGTAGCAACGAAAATAATTTTATGGTTGGGTCACAACATGAGGAGCTGTATTTAAAGGGCCAGAAGGTTGAGAACCAACGACCTAGCGGGTCCACTTGTAAGAACGACCCCACAGAAAGTCACAGGTGTACAAAGACTGGCAACAGAGAAGAACTGGAAACAATCTAAATAAACAACCTTAAATAAGTCATGAGATCGAGCCTTACAAAGGACCCAGGCAGCTGGTAAAAGGCAGAGCCGCGCACACGGACAGCCGGGGGAAGGAGTGTGGAAAGTTAGGTGATAAAAGCTGGTTTCTGGCAATGTACATGGGTGATCCCACTCACAGAAACAAAGCCCATGGAGCCGGACATCCGGGTACATGTATGGAAAATCACAGGAAAGGTAAGTAAGGACGCTAGAAGGTAGAGGACTGGTCCCCAAAGATGCCTGCGTCCCGCTCCGGAACCTGTGAATAATATCACCTTATACTGCGGCGGAGGGGACCTGAGCTTGCTAGATGCCCTTAAACCAGGAGACTCTCTCCTAGATTACGGACTGGCCAGGAAGCCACGGGATCGGGTCAGTAGATGCAGAAGAGGCAGGAGAGCAGGGCGGCCGGGGGGTGGGGGGTGGAGGAGTGGTGGAGGAGGAGGAGGAGTGTAGAGTGACGTGAAGTGAGGACTTGACTCCTTGCTCTCTTTAAAGAGGAAGGAATAGCCGTGAGCCACGGAAGGAGGGCAGCCACCAGATGCTGGAGTCAGCGAGAAGCCGATCGCACCCAGAGCTCACAGGAGGCGCAGTTCTGCGGGTGCCTGGATTTAGCCTGGCGTGACCCATGCTCGACTTCTACCCTCCAAACTGTGAGGTGATACAGGGAACAGCACAGATGTGCTCTGATGGCACTCTAAGCGACCCCTGCGGGGCGCGGGGGAGCAGGCAGGGGGAGTTCCTGTGTTTATTTCTAACCTTTTCATTGGAATTATGAAAATGTAAACCTATTTCTTATATAATTAAAAAAATATTTAAGGCCTGGCTGGGTGGCTGAGCCAGTTGGAGCGTCGTTCTGTACATCAAAAAGGTTGCAGGTTCAATTCCAGGTCAGGGCGTGTACAGCAGACAACTGATGGGTCGGTTTCTCTTTCACATCCATGTTTTTCTGTCTCTCTCTCCCTGTAAAGTCAATTTAAAAAACCATAGCCTCTGCCTTAACTCTCCCTGCCTTCCTAGATCCGACCAGTGTTTTGGTTTCATCCACATACGCTTGTGAATCTTTGTTCTCAGTGATGAATTTTGTTAAGTCTTGTAAGAGGAGTAGCCTGATGGATGAAAGTAGTAGCTCGTGCATATCTCTGAAGGTCACGAAATATAAACCTGATGTAAAATCTCTGTCATCAGTGATGCAGCAGCAAAAGTCCCACTGATATTATCAAACGGAGTCATAAAGTTTTCTGTCGGACTGTCAGTGTACATGTATACTGTACATGTATAGTGTACATTAAAAAATACATGTATTTTTCATCATTATATATCACTGTCATATACTGTGTTTTTGTCGCTTGAATGAATTTTATTATTTCTTCAAGGTTCTTCACGTATGTACACCTTAAGAGATATCAAGTTAAGTGTAACATGTTCTCAAAAAATTAGGGTTGGCACGCAGAATTTTGAGTCAGAGATTTTGCTGGTTTTGGCACACACTCACAAAAAGGTTGCCCACCCCTGCCCCAAGGTAAGCTAGCGCCCACCTAGAGACCACCCACTGCAGAGATCAGAAAAATAGGGGGTGGGGATCTGTCCTTAAAGGGTCAGATCAGGCAGGCAGAGCCAGAAGCTAGCTAATAGGGGGTCAGGAGGCTGGTGTCAGGAGGTGGAATCAGCCCATGATGAGGGGCTCCTAGCAGGTCAGGTGCTGCTCTCTGACCTACCTTCCTATGGGCCCAAGGTGTCAGCTGCCACCTCTGACGTGGATCAAAGTGGACAAAGAAATGCCCATGATCCCCACTGCACTAGGATGGAAGGGTCCCCTTTGCTAGAGGCACTACAGCCTGTGAAGTCCCAGACCCCCCAGCTGCTGTCCTGTGGTGGCAAGCCGCCACACCACCTAAAAGAGGGCACCCACTCGGCCTGAGATACCAGGTTGGGGGATCCCTCCCCAGCTGTCACCTCTCCAGGGTCCACTGAATCTCCAGCTGTTTCCTCCAGTGCCTGGGGGGGGCACAGGTGGCTCAGCTCCTCTTCGCTGGTGCCCTCCGCGTCCTGAGCCACTCCTCCACTCCCGTCTTCTGCCCCCCATTTCCCCTTTATTCCCTTCTCAACGCCCCTCAGTTCTGCCTGCTCACCTACCATCCCAAAATCACAAGACAAAGTGTGACAGCCCACGAGGCCTGGACTGCAGCACTAGTCTGACTCCAGGTCAAAGTTCTAGCCTCCTCTCTGGGCCTGTTTCCCTATCTGTATGCTGACACGTCAGAGAAGTGCTTTTCGTATTTAATTTTAGCAACAGAACCCTTTTTCCAAAGGAAATCTAATGCAGGTTCGTATAGTAAAATGGACAAAGGCGGGGCTGCTCTGATTCCCCGTGGATGTGGATGGACCCCCCCAGAAAAGCAGTCCCTGGGAGACCACAGCTCCACAGAGCACAGCTTGTGGGGGTCTCTGAGGTGTTGGGCCCCACCCACCCCCACCTCTTGCCTCAAGGGAGCCTTTGACAACACTGGTCCCTACCCTCTCCTCCTTCCACATATCAGGTGACCCCCAAGCGAGCCCTTCATGTCAAGCCCCAACTCCCCAGGCCCTGGTCTTCCTTCAGCTGAACCCCACGGCCCCAGATGGGCCCCCAGGCCTTGACAGCAACCCCAGCCTTAGGGCCCCTTGGGGGCTCCCCTCTGCCTTTCTTGGCCCCAGTCACCCAGTCCTAAACTCTCCCCCCTTTGTCCCCTCCTACATCCTGCTCACCCAGTCATCATCCTAGCTCCTGCCATGGCCTTGGTCCCCCCCCACCCCCCGCAAGACCCTTCCACCCCAACACCATCTTCCCGGCATCACCCCAAACCTCCTCAGTGTGTGGGACAAGATCCAAACTCCTGGCTTGGCAGCGGAGGTCTCCAGGATAGGCACCCACCAGCCTTCAACCCCAGCCCCTGCCCACGCCCCCGCCCCAGTGCTCAGCTCCATGCCCGCCCCCAGGAAGGCTTCCCAAGAGCCCGGCACAGCAACCTCCCAACTGAACTTCTGGAAGGTCCCTCTGCCCAGAGCCTAGGTTCCCAGCACTCTTTTCTGCTTCAGGCAATGATGTGCTGATTAGAGGCAGCCGATTATCAAACTTTTAGGAATTTTGTGACACAGTTAAGCAGGCCATTATTAAAAATTATGTAAGCGTATAGTTAATTACATTAAAAACAAAGCTGATACGCCAAACATCTCTTCGTAATGATTTCACTGCATTTTATTGTTGTCTGTGCTCCCAAGGTTACTTCTCTTCTGTGTCTGTGTGATGGAAATACCCTATATAATGGGTGTGCACGTGTCTTCCCAACTCCGTGTGCCGGTCCTCAGCCACAGTGGGAGTATTTACACCATGGACATTGGTAAACATTACAAATCAGGACTCGGTTTATTTTTTGATAGTCTAGACTTAAGCAAGTGATGAGAAAATGCTAGTAATGCAGATTAAATTTAAAAGTGTGCCATACCTATGACCACTACATTGTAAGCAGAACAAAAACCTGGGGGAATACTCTTAAGAAAATATTCTCAATAGAGAACTATTATCCAATTCAACCAAAAAATTGCTCATGACATTGATCAAGAAAAGTTTCAATATGTTTCTCGTCTTACTCATCCACATAAATAAAAATGTCAACCAACATTCATGTTAGAATGACACTCGTTTGTCAGTTACCTCTGGATACAAGCATTCGGAAAAACCAATGGAAGAATTATGAGAAAAATCAATTAGCTATATAGAAGTTACAATAAAAAGTATTACGTATTTTTTATTTGTAAGTTGTATACTAAACATCCTTTGTATCAGTAATATATCTATATCTATATCTATATCTATATCTATATCTATATCTATATCTATATCTATATCTATATCTATATCTATATCTATACACACACACACACACATATATGTATATATCTCCTTATTTTATCATACTTTCAGGGAGGGGTCCCTGAGCCCAGCCTCTGGGGAGCGGCCTAAGCCAGCAGTCAGACATCCCCCAAGGGGTCCTTAGTGCTGAGCCTCTGCAGAGCAGCTCCTGTCACCACTTCTGCACTCGCCAACTGTGAGCCGAGCTGCTACCTGAGCGGCGCTCTCCCTATGGGAGCACCCTGACCACCAGGGGGCAGCTCCTGTGCTGAGCATCTGCCCCCTGGTGGTCAGTGCGCGTCATGGCGACCAGTCGTTCCACTGTTTGGTCGATTTGCCTATTGGCCTTTTATTATATAGGATATACCATATATAAGTGTGCAAGTGTGTACACATAGGTGTCTTTTTTCTGGAGAGCTAATTGTCCACAGACATGGCCAAATGTCCCCAGGGGAACAGAATCAGCCTCAGTTGAGAACGCTGTCCTCACGTTCCCCTAGGAGCCACTGGAGGCTCCCAAGTCCCAAGACCATCTTATGAGGGCCTCAGCCTGGCAGGAAGGGGCAGGATTTCCCTGTTTAGGGAGCACCTCCCAGGGGCCTGGCCAGTGGAGCACCCACTCCCCATTGGCTCCCCATGTCCCCAGGGTGGTGTGAAGAAAGCAGTCCAAGTGCAGAGTGTCATCTGAGGGCTATCAGCCGGACCTGAGCTTAAATCCCCTCTGACAGCCGCAGGCCAGCTGACCTGGGGCAAGTCACATAACCTCTCACAGCTCAGTGGCCTTGTCTGTTTAACGGCACAATGCTCACGTCCACCCGCTGGAGAGATTGAGACAATGCATGGCAAATGCCTCCCACGGTTCTGGTCCACAGGAAGGGCTTCCAAAATATTAGCTCTTTTCTGAAAACATGGCAACCAGATACTTGCCCCCGTCCCCCAAAAAGCAGCTCTTCAGCCTCACCTGTGAGATGTAGCCTGGGGGGATGTGACCATCCTCCTGGGGCCTGGGTGCACCCTGAGGAGCCTCCCCCTGAAGACGCCATGCCTCCAGCTGGGCACGAAGAGACAGGACCTGTGAAGGGAGATGAGGTCAGTGTGGGCCTGAAAGCAGAGAGGGCTGGTGCGAGGCAGTGCGGATCTGTGGATGGGAGGAGACGTGGCCCTGGTGGGATGTGAAGGCCAGGGGGACAGCCAGCTGTGTCCTGGATGGCAGAGCCAATGAGCCAGAAGAACTCTGGCCCAGAGAAGACCAGACAGGGCTGGGAACAGAACACTGTGGCCACGGACATTTACATTACGTAGGTGGCAGGGGAAATGTCTTTGAGCCTCAGCTTCCCACCAGTAAAACTGTGATGAGAACTACCCTATGGGACCACGAGGCTGCTGTGAACATATATGAGCCTCTGTATGTAAAGAGAGCCAAGGGCAAGATGCTCAGTAAATGGTCTCTCCTTTTCTTCTTTGTTCCCTTCTGTGTGATTGCTGACAGAACTAAGAAGCAAAAATATCAAAAAACAGCCCTGGCCCATGTGGCTCATTTGGTTGGACATTGTCCTGTGCACCGAGAGGTTCCCGGCTTGGTTACTGGCCAGGGCACAAGCCAGGTTGCAGGCTTGATCCCCATGAGGGGTGTGCAGAAGGCAGCAGGTTGATATTCTGCTTTCACATCGCTGTTTCTCTCTCTCTCTCCCTCCCTCCCTCCCTCCCTCCCTCCTTCCCTTCTCTCTCTAAAACTCAATAAAAATGCTTCTTAAAAACAATAAAAACTCCAAGGTCTAGAGAAGCTTCCAGTTCACAAAGGAGTCTGAGGTGTCCGACAGTGGACCAGGAGTGAGCTCCCCGCCACTGTAGGCATGCATGATAAATGCTGCAGCATGACTATAGGGATAGGAGGGGTGTTGGTGGGGTAAGAGGGTTCCCAGAGGCCAGCCATGATGTCTACCTCCTTCTCCAGTGCCTCATGGCTGTCACTAGGGGGCCCCCGGCGCTCCCCGCGGCTTTGGTTGAGCAGGGCGGTGAGAGGCACCCGCTTGTTCTCCCGCAGGGGCAGTTTCTCCAGCTCCTGCCACTTCTTCTCGATCTCCTCGCTGAGCCGACTCTGCTGGTCCTCGGTCAGGGGGGCACCCAGGCCCCGGCGTGGCCCCTCGCCAGCAGGTGTCTCTGTGGCCCTGCTGTCCACAGCCTCAAACCACTTGCGTCGCTCCTCAGAGCGATGGGCCAGGTCCCGTTCCAACTCCTCCTGCTTGGCTGGGCGGTCAAGAGTGCGAGCTGGGGTGCGGGCCCGCTGTGGGGAGCCCTGAGACAGTGGGGAGAGCTCCACGTAGTCCAGAGATGGCCGCTGTCCATCTGCCTTCCGAGGGCTGCCCCGACTGATGACCTCAGAGCCCGCACGCTGCTCCCCCACCTTCAGGGAGCCCTTCTGGGTGCTGTAGCTGTGCAGTGTGTTCTCTTTATTGCAGTCCGAGAGCCTAGGGTGCCAGCAGAGCCACATCAGGTAGGATCTTGCCCACTCAGTCCCCAAACAAGCACTTCTGGAGCGTTCCCATGTGCCAGACCCTGGGGATGAACCCCAGCAGAGGAGGCAGCCGAACCCAGAGATCAGAACTAGAGCTTCACCATTAACACACCTGGGAGCCATCCCAACTCTACCACTGACCAGCAGAGGGACCAGAATATCTGGCTTCCCTCTGAGCTCAGTCACTCATCTGTAATATGGGACAATGCTTCTCACAGGAGGAATATGAGGACTAGGTGGGCGAATGTGTGTAAAGCAACCAGAAGCCCATTAAGAATAGTGATCAGCCGAAACCAGTTTGGCTCAGTGGATGGAGTGTCGGTCTGCGGACTGAGGGGTCCCGGGTTCAGTTCTGGTCAGGGGCATGTGCCTGGGTTGCGGGCACATCCCCGGTGGGAGATGTGCAGGAGGCAGCTGATCGGTGTTTCTCTCTCATCGATGTTTCTAGCTCTCTATCTCTCTCCCTTCGTCTCTGTAAAAAAATCAATAAAATATATTTTTTAAAAAAAGAATAGTGATCAAAGCATTATTATTAAAAGTATGGTTTGATATAAGATCCTGGGTTCAAAAGACTCACAGTGGAATAGGGGAGATGCCCATGGTTACTGCCAAACAGGTGAACAGTGACCTCTGGGTGCATAGGCACAAATTGTGGAGATTTAACAACTTTGGCAGTACTCTTCTATAACAATAACAGGGTATATGGTCACCCATCCCAAAACTACACTTCCCAGAATCCCTTGCTGCTATGTAGGGCCATGTACCTACATTCTGCCCAGTGGAAGTGAGAGGTGACACCCTTTAAAGGACTGGGTGTGCCCTGGCCTGGCTCCTGTTTGGCACTCCAGGAGAATGTTAGCAGTTTCCTGAGTCAGAGGCAAAGCTATGAGTTGAGGGCCACAGAGCTGGTCTGGGCTACACACCACTGGACTGCTCTGGAGAAAGAAAGAACCTCTCCTGCTTAAAGTCACTGTGCTTGGAGCTTCTTCGTTACAGCAGCCGAGCCTATACACTAAGTAGTAATCCAGCTGCACTGTGCTCCAGCTCACAAAGGCTTCTGTGCATATTCTCGTGACAGTCTGACTAATGAAGTGTCTGAAACTCAGACCAGGTGACTGCACTGAGGTTGAACAGCCAGGCTATGGCCAGACAGGGGGACTCACGCTAGACACCCCTCAGTGTCATGTTTCCATTCAGGCCCCCCATAGGTGTCTGGGATTTATACTGTGTGGGAGCGCTACCACCAGGTAACTGAGCCCTCCCTCTACTCTACCCACGGTGGCCTCCACTGGGAGTGAGTTGCTCTCCCAGACTGCCTAGCCATCCCCTCTCCTAACACAGGATGAGACACAGCACAGACCATCAGCCACTAGGGGGGCCCTTTATGAACTGGCATCTCCTCCAAAGAGCTAAGGCCTCTCCCCACCTTTTCAGGAGGTGGGGGAAGTAGAGGGACAGCAGTCACACTCCAGATCCTCACTGTGTTTCTGGAGGACTGCCAAGATGCTCAGCGCCCTCTCCTCATTTTGTTGATAAACTGAGGCCCAGAAGGTACAGCCAGGGGCTCCCAGGTGAGTGCCAGCACAGCACTCAGGGATACAGGGGAAGTGCCTCCCCAAAGCCCTGGTCAACCCAGCACGTACTTGGTGACATCTGGGGCTGAGATGGGACGCACAGTCTTCCTCAGAGCCTCGATCCAGTTCCTCCGGATGCCCGAGGTCATGGCCGACAAGGTATAGACAGCGTCCTTGGTCTGCAAGTCCACCCCACAGGTAGGTTGCCACGTGGCCAGCACCATTGCTCCCACCCCACTATGGACCCCAGGGAGGGTGGCCTTCTCCCCCAAGAGAGAGTCTAAGGTCTTGAGCCTGGAGTTGAGCAGAGGGTGCAACACCTCCCCTTCACTAGCCTAGACTTGGAAGAGTCCCAGTGGCTCCAAGGTCTCCCCAATATTTGAATTACCCGGCCAACGATATCTGGGGTCTCCCCAGATATGCTGTGTTGGCAGGAGAGCTTCTGACTGGCTCTGAGGACAGGGTCTCTGGGTAAATGAGTGACAAGAGCCAGGCATGCTCCACACAACATCTCCTCTGGGGGCTCTCCAGTCATGCCACCCCCCAGATCACAGTCTCACGTGAATCTGGAAGCCGTAGTTGCGCTGTACTGCATACTCGGTGACGTCAGTGCAGGAACGCAGGTCAATCTCGCCATCCAGCTCATCTGCCTACAGCAGGAAGACGATGGTGCATATACTCCAGTGACCGCCCCCGCCCCCAAGCCCCTTCCAGGGGCCCCCAGCACCCGGTGTCTCACCTCTTCAGCGGTGGAGTCCCTGTAGTACTTGAGGCTGGAATCAGTCAGCACAAACCAATGCTTCTTCCACTGTGAAGGAGAGGCGGTGGTAAGGGGGCCAGGGTGGAATGAAAGAGCATGCGTGTGCCACTTTGCTGGCACCCTGGGGGCTGCCAGGTCAACCACTCTGCTCAAGTAGGGGCCTAGCACCCTCCCCAGCCCCCTGAGGGGTAGGGGCAGGGGACAGGGCAGTCAGAAAATCCACATTTGATGCCTGGCCCTCCCGTTCCTCTCTGAGCTGCAGGGGCAGCATCTATGGAATGGGCCGACCTCTCATCCGGAACCACCCCCCCTTTCCTTCTGGGAGCCCTTCTCTGCTTCATGAACACTTCCATACCCATCCTGATCCTTCCCACCAAGATCGTTGAGGCACCTACAAGCAAATCCCCCCAGAGTAGACCAGGGAGGGGTTGTGACCTGTGTAAGGTCATCTGCCTAGCCAGCCAGGACCAGAACTTCCCCAGTTACTTTGCATATGCCTCTCTGGATCTCCTCAGTCGCCAGGGACAGGACTCCCAGAGGGCAGGACTGGAAGGTGGCCCAGGGGAGGCATCTGGTCGTATTCTGTTTCTTGATCTGGGTGCTGGTTACATGTGTGTTCACCTTGTGAGATGCATTATCTGAACATTTAGGATTTGGGCATCTTTTTGCAGCGCCTTTCTCTCTGCTCCAGCTGGGGTCAGGTTAGCAGAACACATCAGAAAGGAAAGGGGTGGGGGCACCAGTACAGCCTGATATTGAAGGGGCCAACCTTGGCCCTCCTCTGGCTTCTGGCCATTTGCTGGAATGCTAGTTCAGGTCCACCCACTGCCAGGGTCAGTGCAGTCCCCACATCTCCTTGGATTCCCACACATCACCAAGCCCTATCCACCCTGTTTGCTATTTCAAGTACTTAGGGTTCTTTTTTTTCCTTAAGAAGATGGTACATTTTCAAGGATGTGCCAGAATGACATTTTCTACTTCTTTCAACACTACCTCTCCTTAGTATTCAAGAGACAACTATTTTATCCCTTCCTAGCTGTGTGTCTTCAGTTAAGTATCTTGACCTCTCTGGGCTTCAGTCTTCAGATTTGTAAAGCAGGGCTAATAAGAAATGCCTAAGCCTCTTGTAAGGTTCGAAGTTCCTAACCCTCCCTTGTGTGTCTCTCAGGGCACCTGGCCCAGGGTGGGCACTATATTGTTGGGGATTGCTCTGAACGGCTGGCCCTCTTAGAACTACCTGCTCTTACTGAGTAGCCTGAATTGCAGCTCAAGACCTCAACTGTCCCTTTGTAAAGTGGGGCAGGGGTTCTGTGCCAAATGATGACCTTGGTCCAGTCTATGACTGTCTAAGATGGGAACCAGATGGAGCTCTGTGGGCCTCCGGTGCCCCGAGTTCCAGGCCTGTGTCTGCCCAAGGTACTGCTAGGCCTGGAAGAGATCGAAGCCCTTGTGCCCGTCTCCTGTCTATGCACCAAGGGGCTGTGCTGGCTGAACTCCCAGGCCCCTTCCAGCTCGGACATTCCAAAACCTCGGGAAAGAGAATGAGTAACGGCCAGTGCTGGGTGGGGCCCATAATCTCTGCCCTCCAGAGACCCTGGGTGGGAGGCCAGGACGGGTCACTGGCAAGGTGCCAGGCCTTGTGTGAGGCTGGAGCCCAGCCACCAGAGGACTGGCGAGCAGGCAGCGGGTACGGAAGGCTGTGGGTTGGAGGGGATAAAGCATGTGGGTAGGAAACACAATGCAATTCCCTTGGCTCCCAGCCCTCCCGGCATGCGGGCTGCACACAGACCAAAGCCACGAGCGCACGCAGGGCAGGGGCGGGGAGACGTTCCCTCCCAAGATGGGTGGGCAGAAAGCCAGCTCCAGCTCCAGCATGGCAGCCGAAAGGGCAGAACCCATAAGAGGCCACTGTCCCTTCTGGGTCTAAGGACAGACACATTAGAGAAGGGTAGGGTGATTACTGAGGCCCTAGCAGGTACTGGGGGCTATGTGAGGCCCTTTACCTGCTTGACATCTGTGCCTATCATCCACTATGCCCATCTCACAGATGTGGCCACTGAGGCCAGGGAAAGCTGTGATTTGACCAATGGGGCCCCAGGTTGGTGAGACTTCAGATGTGCTCTGAGCATCATCTGCAGGGTGGGGGAGGAGGGGCTGTTACACGACTGAGTTGTTACAAATCTGTGCGTCTCAGGCCCGATGATCTCTGAGCCCTTGCACCCCAGACCCTCGGATACCCAGGAGGTCATCAAGAGGTGGCAGGACCAAGAGGTTCTTGGTGAGAGGAGGGGATGGGGTACAGAGCCTGAGGGGCTAGGAGGCACGCCCCCCCTTCCATGGTGACTCTTACACACTACAGACTGCTCCAGGAAGCCACCACCCTCCCACCCCCATAGTCCAAGGCTGGACCAGAAACACCCTGCCCTCAGAGTTCCCACTTCTGGCCCCCACCCTGGACCCCCTCCACCTAGAAGCCATGGTCTCTAGAAGGCTGGACAGGCGAGGGAAGCAGCTCTGCCTCCTGGGTTGCCCCCAGCCACCCCCTTCCTCTCCATTCCAGCCCTCCTACCTCTCCAGGCTCGTCCAAGATCGACATCCATCCCTTCTTGAAGTTGAGCAGATCGGGCTATGGGGAGATGAGGAGGCAGATGAGTCAGGCCCAGTGGAGAATCCAATGGGGCTGGGGAGGAGGGGGTGCTGTACCCTCTTGGCCTTGAATCCTGTAAGACTAAGGGCCTGAGAAGCCAGGAGAGAGGGCTGAGGGCCCAGGTAACACCCCAAATCGAGGCAGACTCACCAGCCACTAATGCAGTCTTGGCCCCTTTCCCTAACATCCAGTAATCTCTGATTGCCAACTGGGTGGACAAGGCGACTGGGACATCCACCAAAGATGTTCAAGCTTCCCTCCCACCAGCCTACTTCCTCACCCAAGAGTGGGAGGGGGGTGGCCAAGAGAATGCTGCCTGCAGAGAACAAGCCGGACCAGCAGGGCGAGTGAGCTGTCCAGTTCCTCTCTCTGACAAGGCCCAGGCGGCCCACCAGGAAAATGCCTTATTGCTGCCACCCACCTCCAACCCACTGACTCTCCTGTGGCCCAAACAGCCCTACCTGCCCTCATCTCCTGGAGACCCTGAAAGATGGAACCAAGCACAGGCTGGGGTCAGAGACCCTCTGGTTCCCTCTAGATCTCTGGATGGGCCGGTCCTGGCAAGGCCTACCTGCCGGGTGCTGCCCAGGGGGACGCGGCCCCGGGGTCTGGGGGCTCCCAGCTGCAGCATGGTCCACAGGGGTCTGTGAGCTATGAGTTCCCACTAGGCCTAGACAACGAAGGTGCTCATTCTGGCATTTTTTCTGGTCAGGTCCATCTGGTGGGTGCCCAATACCAGGCCCTCCTGGCTGTTGGGGAGACCTCTCTTGTCTAAGTCTAAGTCGCGGTCCCTCTGCAGTCTCAGCTCCTGCCACTGGCAGAGCAGGGCGGACCAGGCTGGCGGGCAGGGAAGAGGCGTCCACCTGTTGCCATGGCTCTGAGCCCACCTATCAGCGCCTGCATCGAAGCCTCACCAGGCCAAGGTGTCTGGTTGCGTGAAGGGAGCGGGTGGCATGGCTCAGTGGGGTGGGCGGTGAGGATGGCAGCTGGAAACCTGGAAACCAGAGCCACCTGACCTGGCCACCTCCCCTGACCTGCCTTCCTCCTAGGGAGCCCCTTCTCCTCTTCCTCAGCTGGAAGAAGTGGCCTGAGGGGAGGTTGGGGCAGCAGCCTGGACATTCAGAGACATCCACAGCCATGGCCGTGGGACCAGGGCCCCATCTCAGCAGGCTGGCAGCCCCACCCCGGCACTGCAGCCCCTCCCTGCATACCTGTCAGAGGGAAGGGACACAGGCTCTGCTCAGACCTGAAAACTCTGGGTGGTGTTCACCCTATCTGCTCTCCATTTCTCCCAGACTCTTCCCCAAAGGTACAGGCGTCCCAAACCAAGACCGAACGAAGTGGTAGCCCCGCTCAAGACCATCGGGTCACTTGGGTTCACCTGCATTCAGTCTGGACCTCCCGTGCCCCAGGGAAAACCTGCTGAATAATATCCACCCTCCTCTACCCCATCTAAATTTCTGTGCTTTGGCCCAGCTGGGTGTAGCTCAGTGGTTGAGCGTCGACCCAGGAACCAGGTGATCACCAGTTTGATTCCCAGTCAGGGCATATGCCCCAGTGTAAATAAATTTATATGCTTTGGAGACAGGCCCCACCCCCACTCCCTGGCCCTGAGGAGTTAGGGATGGCCCACAGCAGATCAACCTCAACTTCCAGAAGCTGAGGAAGGGCTC